ACCATTTATTTCACCACAAATTTTAGTGGGACAATCTATGCACATCCAAAAAGTAAAGGTCAGTTTGGTAAGAATAGAACAGTACTTTTTTTCAAAGAGGCAATTTCTCAACTAGAACTAATTTATGTAAGAATAGATATCACCTTCGTAAAAATATTCCAGATGATTCGCCGTGCTTTTGGATCGACACCAGTAGTTGGCTCGTCAAGGAGAAGGACCGGTGGTAGTCCGATTAGTGCAATTCCGAGCGACAAGCGTCGTTTATTTCCACCACTGAAACGCTTTACTCATTAACACCTTTAATCGTGGATTTTTTTCAGACTGATTTATATTCATTTTCATTCAAGATGTGGCAAACTTCTCGCACTTCTCCTATCATTCGGGTTCAAGAGGATGTTACAGACCGATTGAATATATAGCGCACTTGAAGGCTCAGCTCATGGTAATTCTCTGGTACCTAGCTCAAGTAAAATAATGGAGGTCATTGTGTGGAACAGAGCGAAAATGGTGTAAAATGACGCTAATGTGATCAGGAAACTACGCAATATAATAACACGTCCCATGCGCTTTAGACTACTTAATTCGAAGAGCCTTTCCATTATGAAGATGAGGTTCTACAAACAAGAACGGTTCCTTCCCATTAATTATGATGTTTTCATTTCCCAAATATTTCCCACTTCTTCTCTGACAATTTCTGTAATTTGACATAAGACTTGGCCGCAACCTCCCCCAAGTTTCAAAAATAAGCAGGATGGCAACTTAAAGGTACCTGTAGCCTTTGATCTGCCGCTTGGCGTACATTCCGATACCGATTGTTTGAATAACAGCGTTAACCTGAAAAAAAGCTTTTAACTTCTTCCCAAAAATATACATATTGAGGCAGCAATTTTGAGAACCGTGCCTGGACGTTTTGATGGACCTAGATAACATTGGTGTAATCATAACTAAAGTCATATGAAGAATCCTATGATAAGGAGGATCACACATAACTCGGGGTAAAGTCGAACAAACAGGAACAGGCAGTACCTCCAGTACCTTTTCGTAGTACCTCCAGTTTCCGTTTTCAAGGAAGCAGAATTGGTAGCGTGGATGTCAGAAAGCACAGGAGCGGTTGACAAACTAAGACGAGAAGGGTTCAGAAACTCACCTTTTCCGGAATATCCTTTCTTGGAATCCCACGAATTCGTGCAAACATGTACAGTGTCTCTTCTCCAGTCATTTCTTTGAGAACGGCATCAAACTGTGGACAATAGCCAATATTGGCACCAGCCTAAAAAGAGTTCATTTGACTAGCTATTGCTTTTGCTCTGATTGGTGGGCGGGACTCCTGAGGTAGGCGGGCCATACAAACAGCTCTCACACTATGTAAAAACCTTATCAACCCCTACTGCATTATCGAACAGGCTCTAGCTCACTTTAGCAACGCTCCAAACCCTTCTACAGCTACTAAATTTTCTGGTTCCTTTTAAAAGTACAATTGAGAAATTCCAAAAAAATATCTAGTTATTTGAGTTTCTTCCTAAGCCAATGTTTTGCTCATAAGCTAACCATCCTTGTGAGCGTCTGGTTATTTTACACTTCAAGGATAAAATATAATCATCGAGGACCTCAAAAACTCTTACCTTTTTCCAGTCAGTTTTTACGCTCCATCCGTTCACAAACGCATCTCCCTCGGTTATATCGTTCTCTCCTGTCAACATCTGGAACGTGCTGGTTTTGCCTGCTCCGTTCACGCCTAGCAGTCCAAAGCATTCGCCGGTCCTCACGTGGAACGTCACACCTTTCACAGCGTTGAAATCTCCGTACCTGAATATTGTAGATGACACAATTCTCATCGATTAGGTGATTTTTCAAGAGGAGGTTCAGCATGTACAGGCAATAGCAGTAATATTTCATTTATATCAATTCTCACGTCTTTTTGATGTCGTTCACTATAACTGCAGTGCTGTGAATATCCATTGCTCTCACGTTCGATTTCTCCGCTAGCACGTCACTATCCTCACCAGTGAAGTCACCATCGCTTTCTAAGGTCCAGTTGTCGTACTGAAATTGTGGTACAGAAATTGCTCCATATTTCCTCGAATTACCCAATGTCAGCTGTGACGAAAACTATTTTCGTATACCAACTAGAGCGCACTTTCCACAAAACAGAGTTTGTTTAGCATGAATTTGGTTGATTCACCTTTTAAGGGCAATTCATTGACATAAATGTGTTTAATATAGACACATATACAAGGGTACATAGCGGAGACGGTTAAACGCACGGGTGGGCTATCACGGCACGTAGCGATTCTTAGCTAGATGTCTCGTCATGCGTTGAGTCTCATGGATAGCTGGTTCTATCAGCAAAGGAATAAGGCGGCATCTCGTCCGGAACTAGAGCCTAGCCACTCCATGATGCCATGATTACTCGCGTCGGATCCAAAGTTCGGTCGAGGAACCGACGGCATAAAAACGCCGTTGTTTGAGAATGAAGTAGATATTCTCCACCTTTACAACTTGCACTGACCCCAAAAATACTGTCAATTTCTATTAAACAATTCTGAATAAATATCTGGAGTTGTTTATTCTTAGCTCTAATTTAAAATCAGAAAATATGAAACGTCGTTCATGGTGACCTAGGTAAGTGTGGTTCATGAGGAAATGACAGCAAAAAAATCTAATTTGCCCTATGTTTTTGCACACCACTTTATTCGTCTTTGTAGTTTACTAAGCTGAATGGTAGAAAATTTGTAAGGACGATTCACCTTTGCATCAATGACGCGATTCGTACGCCTCAGTCCTTTGCAGAACGTTACAAGCCTCGCTCGCAGTTTATATTCGATACTGAACACGAGGAACCAATAAAGGAAGCCCTGCAAAAGGGAAAATTTAATGAACGAATTGTTGCACTACGGTTTTCTATCATTATATGAAATGTCATAGGTGTGGATGCTTCACGCTACATCTCAAAGAGGACTGCTTGCATATTTCTCGGATTTTCGGGAGGCATTCAGGACTAGCGAGGGGAATGAAAGTACAAGACTGAGCTTTCTTTACTCCTCCTAGATGTTTCATTATGTAGGTCAAACATTTTTCGGATTTTTCTAAAGTTTTCTAAGGAAATATGATGTCTTTCACCCCAAGACGGAACTAGTAACAGTGGGTTTACACATCCTCAGTGAGCTAGTAATCCAGAAATAGATATAGCGCTTCCTCATACCCCTGAATAAATGCGCCTTAATCATGGCTCATACCCTTGAAACAACAACTCCCGTTTTCGGAGGAAGACAGTGGAAAAAGCATTCTACCGACTTGCAGTTCTAAGCGAGATATATTTTACAAGGACAAATGACGATGAGCCTATCCTCCATCTCTAGTATGCCAAAAAACTGTTGAAGAAGCGAAGGACAAATGCCATAGTTATCAGTATACAATGCACCAGATTACAGTATACGACTAGAAGTCTACTGAACTACCATTTCGTCTTGTGTTTTCACTTTCCTTCAGCTAAATTTGTTTTTTTCAATAAACCAACAGTAATTATATTACCTCGAATGCGAAGAAAATAGTCGGCCACATAATACCGTTTTTTCCGGAATCGGTGAGGACGTGATTTGAATAAATTATATCTGAAAAAGAAACCAGCTAATTTATATAATAACCAGCTATATAGGACCGCAGCTGCATAGGCGCAAAGAACCGTTTGAACGTTTTCCAACATGAAAGCACAGTTTACGATGGAAATGGTACGTACATGAGAATCTCCCTTAAACGCGTAACACACAAAGATAACAAAAGGGACGCTGTCGGGTCGAAAAACGGCCTGGACAGGACATAATGAGGGATCCCAAGACCGATTCAACCGATGTACACACCCAAGGTGAACGATTTCTTACAGTGTTGTGTAGGCTATAATGGTTACACCATTGGTCTTGGAGAGCACACGTAGCATCCAGCTATACGCATTGGCGCCCACATTCGGACAACTCGTCCAAACACCCTTCCATGCAACTTTTGTCGTCACATTGTCGTTTGACGCCAATTTTACCACTTTTTTGAAACTTTTGTACTTCTAAATACGCCAGTTTTCGTTCGCCTTTACCTCGCCTATTTTGCACTGTTATAGACTAACAGTTCCACCTTTCGTCTTAAACTACATAGATACCCGAAATTATCATGATTTTAGCTATCAGAAAACAGAATCCATGGAACGCTGATCACGTTGTTGGAATCATAATGGGACTGCTCCCATCGTAAAATATCGCAGTGATTGGAATTCAAGTCGATGCAAAAAAAAAGTCCCGTTTTTACACTTAGGATTCAAATAAACTTCATCTGCGTTTCGGTTACATTCAATCCATACAGTATGAGCCATACTTCTAATTTTTTTCAGAAAAGGTTTGTTTTTTTACTTACCATCCTTTCCTCCACAGCACTTTATATTGTTTTTGTACAGAGGACTCGAACAATCCAGCNGCGAACTCGTTGTTGTATATCTAGAAGAATTGTGATTCTTATAAATGATAATAAGAGATGATGATTCAGAATATTCGCTCAAATATGTATGTGTTGTATCCATAACACATTGGTTCATCTGAAGCTGGTCCTTCGTCTAACGTATAGTTCGTCCTATACCTACACTGAAAGCTATACCGCACGAATCCCAAGTTATCAGGAGACTCCAGTTCCAGTACGGTCTGATTGGCGTACCGCTGCTTGCCATAATTAACTTTCACCGATGGACCTCCCCCGGGGAACAGGTGTGAGTTCCCTACCTAAAGCGGTATGCCGCGAAGCCCAAGATTTGAGCTTTTTTTTCCGAAAAATCACGGTAACCGACGCGAAACCATTGCCGCTTGTAGCGGAAATTCGGGTAGAACTGCCGCCACCAGCGAACTGGAAACCACCATGTAGTTTTCTCTGATACAGATGCATTTTAGGGGTGGACCGGCCGTTTCTGATGTGGTGATATTCTTCGTAGATGTTCTCATTAAGAAAAAACAAACATGTACGTGCCGATCATCCACGTTTAGGATGCGTCACGCTTTTAAGTGAAATGCTGAATATGGTTACAAGCGAAACTTCCGTATTTTCCACAATGATTCTCAGAGGAAATCCAGTGTTAGAGGTAGGTCTTTTGCTCCTTCATAATAGGCCCAAACATCGTTCGGGTGCGTCTCTCCTTTCATCTCACATGCTGCTTCTACCAGAAGCTCGCACTTATAATAAATGTAGGACAGTGGTCTGATTGAATGTTGAAGAAAAGGGAGGGAGTGGGGATTCTTTCCTTAAGCAGCGGTCATTCCATTTTATTTTGGTCATTAATAGCCGCCACCAGAGAATTCCTGGTTCAGGTTCATTTGTTTTATTCCAATTGACGAACCCCTATTTTTCACTCGATTTGACCTTTAACCCGATACGCTAATTCAAAAGGTAAAATCGAGGAAGGTTGAGCAGAATGGGAAAATACGATGAAACAGGAAATGTTGGAAAAAAATAAAAATAAAGGATACGAGCCCACGAACCACTACGAAGATGTTTGAAATGCTATACGTTGGGAAGAAAAACGACAAAATTTTACTCCACGTGAAGGCAATATCTTCG